ATCTATCTATCTATCTATCTATCTATCTATCTATCTATCTATCTATCTATCTATCTCTGTAATGGTCAGCCACACAACCTGCCCCCCCAATAATGTATAGATATGTAAAATCTTTATAGATAAAGACATAATTTCTTTAAATCATATAGTGAAAAGACCCTCATAGTATGAAGGTACTCCAAAAAATTCATTGAAAGATTTGTATTATCTTTCAATTCTATTTTTCCAGGAATTTTTGAAGTACCCTTGTATATGACATACTGAGAGTGCAGAAACAATAGGTTCATATATCCAATTTCACATTCCCTACCCAGAAGAAACTTTTTAAATGGAATGGCTGGTGAACTACTTATATTATTATATGGTTATTTCTCTCTTTCTCACTTTCTTTTCTGAAGATATATTATTCAATTCAAGAAAGTTAAATGTATGTGTAACATGATCATGTTGCGTGATCTATGGATATTACAATTTAGGACCAAGGAGCATTTGTTGCTGAGTGATCCTTTCAATAAATTTAGAAAATAAGAAACATTTATAACTGAAAATTGACATTATCTTTACCCACAACACTTTCTTATTTTTGGACATTCTACCTTTCCAAATCATAATAATATGATGTGTGAATTCTAGAATTGATGCACTTTATTTATCCCTAATTTTTGTTGACTCAAGTAAATCATTTACATTGTAAGACATAAAGGGAACGAATAACTTAAAATTAAAACCTAAACAAACAAAAGAAAACCTGCAAGTGGTGAAGTCTCGTTTTTCCGAAGGTGCAGTGTTGTTTGGAAAATCAGCTATTAGGAACGTTGACAGGCTGTTATTGACATATCCTCTCAAAGGCTGTGTGGCATCTGTTGAGTAGGCGTAATAGTAAACTAAACGGGGAATGATGTCCGATGTAAATGCAACAATAAAAGCCTGAGGGACAAAGCAAGAGGAGGATCATGAGTTGCCAATCTAGTTTTAGAAATATCTGATTTGTCAGTCCCATGAACCATGAAAAATGATTAAAATACTATTATAAACAATATTAAGACATGAGTTTTTGGCCTAATACGTGAAACAGCTCGATTACAGTGTGTAATTAGTATTTCATAGCATTCCAAAATTTCACAGCTACAACATCATTAGGCTGAGAACTGAACCTAAATGTATCTGTCTCTGAGAACCAGGCTCTTTCTACAATGCCACGTTATTTCCTACATTTCTTATTCTTTCATAGCACAGTTCTGCTGTCCTTAACAAATTCACTTCCCTGTAGGGAAAACGAAAAAGACAGAAGACCAAGTGCTGGTAAATTTCTCACAGCTCAGTGCAATTAATTTCAGTATTTGATTGTATGGGAATGGTGTTTTCCTATACTTTTCTAAGCTCTGGAATTGTACAAATAGTATCTTTTAGGTTAGATAGGTCAATTTACAACCACCTGGCTCTGGCATCTACATTTTTAGTGGCAGATTTTCCAAAACTTTTAATATTACTTCTATGGCTAGTGGTCCATTCAGGTTTCAAATCACTTATAAACTTGGCATATTTTATTTTCCATGAAAATTGGTCATTTCAAATAGATTTCAAAATTTATTTGAGTAAATGGGTACATAGCAGTCTCATTATTATTTCAGGGTTTTGCTTATTATGTCTTTTCAACACATTGACTCTTGATTTACTTAGCAATTATATTAGTTTTTGTTTATTTTCTGATTTATTTCTGATATCTTTATTCTTTTTCACTACTTTCTCTTGAATCATTTTATATGTTTTCCTTAATATCTTAAGTTTCATGCTCAGCTCATATTATCCAATCTTCTTTTTTTAATAATAAAAGCATTTATAACTGTGGTTTTATTTCATTCCTATTGGTTTTCTTTTTTTTTTTTTTTTTCCTTTTTTTTGTCTTTTTT